CCCGTGCTACCTCGTGACCGAGGCCGCGGCGTCCCCCTGGCGCTCGGAGAGGGGCAGCGACGGGCGCTGAAACCGGCAGAAAGGCCTCGAGTGGGGCAGGTGCAAAATAGCGGGCGAGGAGGGATTCTTCTGGAAGATGGGAGGATGCGGGAGTGACACATCTGAGCCTCCCTGTATCCTCAATGACTACTGCAGTAGGAGCAGTGCAGCTTGAACTCACTCCCCCTCCCCATATTGCTCAGCAGATTTTTAAAAAGGCCCCTTCAGTGTCTGTAAGTGCTGCCCTCTCGTCCCTGCATCCTCTCCTGCTGAAAGGGCCCTTTACATCATCTTCAGTAGCAGAAGAGCAAGAAAAGCCATTTCAAAAGGCTTTTTCATAATGGCATTTAGAAGTAGTCTGCTGAACTTGGTTTCCAGGAAATTACTTGTCTCAGTTTGAACAAACATTTATCTTTTTCTATGTACAACTTAATTGCTTTTAATTGTACATTTCTGTACTACAGTGAATGCAAGATAGGAAATAAAATGTCATACGTTGTGTCTACTTTGATGTAGCTAGATATCCAGTTATTTGGAATAAATCAACCCTCTGTCTGGTTTGGACTCTTCATAACATATGTTACCTTCCCCAGCTCCTGCCCCCTGCTAAAGCCTCTTCTGACTGCAGGGTGGATCGGTGGCATCGTGAGCATTTCTGGGGTGTTTAGTCCTCGAGGGAAGACCAGAACTTAACTACTATCCGCACAAAAATGGGCAGTGCCAATTGCTCGCGTGTTGGGGGAAGATGAGGAGGTGTTTGTTGTTCTCAGTGGGTTGCCTGCTCCTGTTCAGAGTTCAGGAAAAGGGGCATGCCTGGCACAGGGCAGAGCCATCACCGTGCCGCAGCCTTCGGCGCTGGGGCTGCTCCGTGCCTCTTCTGCACAGTTCATTTTCTTGTTCTTGGGCAGCAGAAACTCGAGTACCTGGGAATAACAGTTATGATGGCAACAGCAAGAAAGCACACCCTCACATTTGTGCTAAATACTATCATAAATATGTAGGTACAAGCCCAGTTTAAATCCTGTTGATACAGGGGAAAGGAAATAAAAATATAAACACTTGCTCAAATATCTATCATCAAGATTATTTTGCTACTTTGAAATATCAGAGCCCTTGGCTTCTACAGCAGATTAACCAAATGCTCTATAAAGTATTTTACAGTTATTATGTATGGAGCTGTGGCTGTTTGATACTTCTAAGCAGTGTAAAATTCTCTTGATTTTTTTGTTTTGCCAGATCTCTGCTCTAATAGGTAACAGCTCAAATAGATGATTTGTCATCTCCCCTGTAGAAAGAGGAGGAAGCTCTTCTGGTCCCTTTGAGCTGCTCGGACGTGCAGAAAGCATTTGCCAGGATCCGGCTCCCTCTTGCGGGGAGCTGCGCAGCAAGATGAGTGCAGAGAGATGGATGCAGCATCCGCAGGGAAAGATCTGATTTTGCACTGTGATTTTTCTCTACAGTTAATGTTAATTCTCATCCTTGCTATAGGTTTTAAACTCTTATTAAAGAAAACAGAATAGCTTAATCTTTGTTCATTTATTGGCAAGTTCTGGGCTCTGCCTGTTTGTGCATTAAGCATGGTTCTAGCTCAGGGATGAAGGTAGGCCTGGTCTTTAAAATTGGGCTTGTCCAGTTTCGTGATCAGAAACAACCTGCCTTTTGAAAAAGATAAATTGCAAGCAGCAGGTTAACTAAAGCCCAGTTCACCAAAAGATTCATCCGCTAATAACTGTTCACCACTAATCACCTCTAGCTGTTCTGAGAAACATTGCCTTATGACGTTTTCTGACAAAAGCATACTGTGATTTACTTGATCGTCCTGAGTATCTACTTCAGCTTGTTGGCAGAAAAAAGAACCAAGTATGCTCTCATGAGATACAGCAACAGATAGAACAGCTCTAGCTTATTTAAAAGCTGTGGTTCTGTTTAACTAAGAAGTGTACGGCTTCTGATGAGCCAGTCTGGTATCCCACAATAAAGCACCTTCAGTGGGGGTAGCTTTAGGTCAGAATGCAATTTTTATTCGGTTTGGTAGAGCAGACATCAAGATGCCCTGAAGAAAGTGAGTCCAATTTGATCCTGTATCTGACATTTTTGTAAGTGGGAAACTAAAATTTGTCCCTGATCTACAGCCAACAATTATCCTTCGTTATCTCAGGTTACCCTACCCAGCTCCCACCCTGTTTGTCCTTCCTTCCTCCCTGAGCCTGGTAGGTGCCCATCCTGTGATTCCCATTGCAGTAAGCTGAACAATCAGCTTAACTTTCCTGCTAAACTAGAGCGGGAAGAATACTGTGCTTTAAAGAGTGAAAGTAAACAACAGCTCTCACAACACTGAAAGTCCTACTAGCATTTTACATTAGGAGCCCCTATGAAGTAGTACCAGTTTTAAGTCCTACCGGTATAGGCAGAGGTTGTGGAGTGTGCTTAGAGCATGTAAGAGCATGGTTTCTCACAACTACAGTGGAATAATTATATTTCTTTTTGCAGAATCTGTGTCATCACCTTGGCAGAAGCCCATCCTCTTCTTCAAAGTGGAAAAACAATTAAAAGCATTAATTACCAAATCAGTGCCAACTGTAGCAGACTCCAGAATAAGGTCTCTGGGAAGTCAAAAAGGGTATGGTGCTTTGATATAGTTAATTTTCACTTTATCTCTTACACTGCCTGAGACTTTCTGTCCTTTCTAGGATAGAAACTCACCAAGTTACCCTTGCATTTTGTTTTAAAACAGCCCCTCCCCAGTTGAATATAGACTTTCTTAAGAGGGGCTTGTCTTAATTGTCCCAGCCACCAGTGCTCCTGCAGCACTGGTCATTTCCAGTGTTGCTCAAACCAAGGCTAACAGTCGCTTTTAGTAATTTTTTTTTTCATAGTGTACAGAGGAACTTAAAACATCCCTGAAAAGATAAAAAATTTCCACCAAAATGCCAAGGATTTGGAGACTACTGTTTCTCTCAAACAAACTGAGATAGCAGATGGGCTACTTCAGTGTATTTCATGGTGGGTTTTCAAGTAGGTTTATATAGTTTAACCTGGTTATACTGAAATCAATGGTGCTGTTTTTCTTCTCTCTCCCCCGATTTTAACCCAATCAAATTAGAAGTCTGTTATTCTGCAAGAAACTTAATTAGGATTAAATTTGTAAGCTCTTGAGCTTCTATTCAATTTGTGTATGTAAGTTGGCGTCTTCCCTTCTGTAGGGAAGCACAGCTATGTAACTTACAACGACCTGTAACTATCACATTTCCCTGCTTTGTTCGAGAAACAAACTTATGTTGCTGATGCTAATACTTTACACAGGCCTTTTTAATTTAAAGTGTGTATGTTTACTTTTCACATGCAGGGAGCTCAGTTTTTAACAGAACTTGCCCCTCTGTGTAGGATATCTTCAACAGATGGAGAAGAATACACCATTTATAGGTAAGGGGTTTTCCCTTTTACTTCTTAGCTTGACATAGCATGCACTTCTACTGAATCTAAACATTTTTGCAGCTGTATACGAGGGCGACTGATAGAAGTGAATGAAAACATTCTTAGCAATCCCGCTATTCTGCAAGAAAAGGTAAGACACTTTCTTGCTTTTTATTTTCTAACTTTTATTTCACTGCTAACTTCAGTCTTGCTTTTTAGCCATCAACCGAGGGATACATTGCTGTGGTTCTACCCAAATTTGAAGAAAGCAAGAGTATAACTCAAGGACTTCTGACGCAGAAGGAGTACGAGGAAGTTTTGCTGAAACGTCTTAATTCTTCTTCATGAAATTAGTTACACAGGTATCATTTGTATTTGATACTAAATAAGCTAGTTTTATTGTACATTGTAACTTTTATGGTATTGAAAGGCTAGTGCCTCTTTTTAAAAGTGGAACTTAAATGCTTGATCCATAGAAGAATAAACGGGTTCAAATACTTTGTATATTAAAATTTGCTTTCTCTTTTTCTCTGAATTCTAGCACTACAAGTTTTTAAATAAGCACAGAATGGTATGTTGAAGAGTATTTCTGTTCCACAGGCAGCTTTACTTCTGCTCAGTGCAAGCGTAATATGTACAGAAAAATCTATATGCTTTAGCTGTCATTTAATTTAGCTAAACTAATACAGTATGGAGTTTGACAGAGGTGAATTGAAAATAAAAATGCAACAGAAGTCTAGGTACAAAGAGCAGATAAACTTGAAAAATACGTGTTTCACACCGGGTTGTATTTTCATGGCATCCTGAAGTCAAAAAATGCCCTTTGTACAGAAGTCTGTCATAATGACTATTTTCTTTACTTTTAAATGGCATAATGCAAAGTCTACATAATACTTCAGTGGTTCTACATGCAATTCAAATTTTGCTCAGTAATAAAAAAGGAAGCAACAACTACCATCTACAAAGAAAGATGGCAAAAGGCTTTGAATCGAGTATTAATTACTTAGAAATATACTTTTGGAAATATGAATCCTATCAACAAGTTTAAAATTCATAGGTGCAGCTACTGAAAGTTTTTTTTTCCCCTAGAACTACTTCACTGAAGGTGTAACTCCTAACTAAGGTAACATTTCAGTGCTTTAGGCCACAGCCTTTCGGACTATATTCCTGATTCTGATTCTGCTTTATCAAATACATAGGCTGAAATAGGCCAGAGATGATTTTACAGACTTCAACAGTAGCGTTACATATAGCATATGCAGCAAAAGGTTCTTTATACAAAATGTCTATTAGCAGCATCTTTGGGTTGAAACATCCATTAAGACATTTATAAGCATTAATTACAAAACTGGTATCAATAGTGAGCATAGGAAAGGCATTCACATTATAAAAATACATAACAATTAGACTAGTTGGTGGTGTAATTGCTAAGTAATGGGACATCTATTAATTAGATGTGACAGAGGTCAACAGTTTTAATTCAAAGTAACCTGGATCGACTTTCCACAAATGAAAGCAATATTGAAAATTCAGCAAGTGTTATTTTCAAATGGGAGTTCCTGCATTTCTAAGTGCTAGATTTACTTGCTCTCTAAAAATGTCATGTTTGTTACATGATTTTCTAAAGACTTGATTCCAAATGTCTCAGCTCTCCTTTCTGGACTATGCACATTTGTAACAGTTCGTATTCTGTCTTCTGTCCATGGTGGAGCAGCTTTGAGACAGCCATTTCCTGCTTTATTCTGTATATTAAAAAAAAAAAAATTCTTAGAAACAAACAAAAAACCCCCAAACAAAAAAAAAGCCCAAAACTTTAAAATACTGCAGATGAACCAAGTACCTTTCTCAGTAATTTGCAGCAAAGTGGAAGAAGCTGGCATAACAGAGTCATCACATTCCTTGTTTTCAGAATGCATGCATCAACCTAAACAAGACAATTAAGAGTAGAGTAAGACCACTCATTACTTTTATTAGGCAACTGTTCAATGCATGAGATGATACTCTATTTCAAACTGGAATAGGTAATATTTGTCCTTCGTAAGTCCCTTCTAATCAAAAGGTTTTGCCTAACTTTTAAAAATTTCTCTATTTAGTATATATAAAGCAATAGCTTCCCTTCTGTTAACCCAAGATTTGAGCTAGGAAGCAGAAGGAACAAAATACATCCCAGGAGAAGGAACTAATAATAAACAGTAATATAAGTGTCTTGGAAAGAAGCTTTTACCACCTAAGTGTGATTCCTCACAATTCTTCATGTTTTTCCTTTTGGTTTATGTCCTATCAGCATGATTTAGAAAGCCATGCATCATGTAAGACTTACCCTGATATGAGGTACACTGAAAGTTAGTTAAATCTTAAAGCATTTTAGTTTATGCGTCAAGTCTAACACTCAGCACAGGTCACAAGTCTGGGCCCTTGACAAACATGAATTTGATAGCTTATTATCACTGTATAGTGATACATCACTGTATAAACAGCCCAAGTTCCTATTTAGTTTAGCTAGAGAGTATAAAACAAACCAAGCAGTAGCCCTGAGGCACTCAGGTTTTGAGTGGCTTGAATGTTCTAGCGAGTTTCACTCCATGCTGTAAAATTGAAACATCTTTTCCATAGCTTATTGGAAACAAACGTCCAGGTGCACAGAAATGGTCTTGCTCACATTGCTCTGGGATACCTGAAGTTCTTCAAAAAGCCTGACCTCTATTCCCTGCTAAGGTTGGCAGATCTACTTCCCGTGGTAACAATGCTGAAACTTTTGAGGCAGCTGTATATGTATTTACTTATAACAGAATAATACCAGAACAAACTCTGGGGAGCCTAGGGTAGATTACCTACCTACTGAGAAGCAAACATGTATTTCAGTAATAGTCTTTGGAGTTTGGGATTTGTTACATTTATGTTAAGCATCAGTAACAATATTTATTACAGTGGTAGAAATAAAATACTGCCTTCATAAATACTTTGATTACTCAAGTCCTTTCTTAGTGAAGTAATCTTAATTACAATTCATATTTCTCTGAATGAAATTCTAGTGGATTACAGTATTATTACTGTAGTGAATTACAGTATTATTCTATCTCGTTCTATTCAGCTGAAAATTATCAGTTGCAGCATGATAAAATTCCAGTACCTCTCTTTATCTAGTGCACAAGTTAATGGACATGTTGACAGAAGTTCTTTTAAAAAAGTTCTCAACAGCCAAAAGCAATATGAAGTAGTGGAAGCCTACAGACAGCTTTCCACCTTTTTTTTTTTTTTTTTTTTTTTGTAAGAGTAGTACAAGAACATCATTGTCTTGGGAAACAATTCTGTAAACTCTTTCATTAACAGTCAAATCCAAAACCCAAACAATAATTTCAATGCTTTTAGTAACAGGAAGGAAAAAAATCCTATTACTTACTTTACTGATTCTTAGACTCAAAAGCTGATAAGCTAGGGGTAGGAAAGTATTCTGTAAAACATTAATATTAATAGTATGTCTGTGGCCACTGGGCCAGTTATGTAAAACTTGGATATCCGTGCTCCCTAATAACATTCATATAAGCCTGTAGAGTGATACTGTCCAAGCTATCGACTGGCAGGCTTCCATGTATGCTGGGTGCCAGTGTCCTATATTTTGCCTCCTATCAAACTCTCAGCATGAATGAGAGGGTCAGGTCAGGGTAAATTTCACTGAAGCCCTTCTCTGTTACTGGGGAAAAGAAAAAAGAAGAGAAAAAAGTCTAGAAAACAGTAGCACCTGTGCAAAAAAAATCCTTTCCTGAGACAAGGTAGTGCGGTAAATGGCTTGGATTACAGTTATGAGTGAGGGATGTCCCAAGAGAGAAAACGTTTTCAGCAAGGGGAACAGTTCCTACTGTTCTTCCTCTATACTTCACACATCTGCTTCTCATAACATGTTAAGCGCAAAACAGCGCTTCAAGCTGACATAAATTTCTCTTCTACATAAGGAACAGCAACGATGACATACTGCGTAACAGAAAAACGCACACAGCATAAAATTTTGTACTTATTTTTATGGTCCTCTGTCAATCCAAGAAGTTCAGCTGTTAGGAATCATTTCATATTTTACTAGGAGCATAAATTAGTAAGTTACTGTATTTCAAAACAAGTTAGGTCTTACTTTCAGAAATAAATATAATTTTTACCTTACCTTTGTAAATGTAGCGCTTTTGCCCTGAACAGAAGATTTAGCTGTTACCTGGAGCTGTTTGCACATAGAGATCAGTTTTTCAGCCTCCAACAGAAGCATGGGTTTGTCATCATCGTGTACCTGAAATGCATTTCAGGAAGAAAAAAAACACTCTGTGTTAAAGACTCCAATATTAAGTTAATGGAGAAAACAGCACAACCAGCTTTTAAGCAGTATCACTAGTGTCATACATCACCTGATCAGAAAAGGCATGAAGAGCTGAAGCAAGCTTTGTGCCCTCTGTAGCAAAAATCTGAAAGGGGAAGAAATCATGTAACAAAATAAACCACACAAAGATGAGACTCTTTCTCCTTGTTGTTTTAATAACCAGTGTGCTATAAAGTAAAAAGGTACCAGGAAATATTTGTGATAGTTATATACATTTATAATTTACAAGTCAGCAGTTTGCAATGACTTCTGAAATAACAAGCTACACCACAAATTGCCATCCTCCCAGATAAACAAAGATTTTTTTCTCCCAGAAAGCGAAGGCTTTCCCTTTACATGTGAAAAAAACTGACTCCCAATTTTTTTTTTTTGTGCTGTAGCAACTCACAAGTGTTTTAGTGGGTAGATGACACCTGCCACGTTTGTTTATTGATCTGACAAAGGTCATCAGTCTCCTGTTAAACGCAGACATGTATCTTGGAAATATCACACCACATTGCTTCATTTGGCTCATTGTCTTTTGTCTGTATTATTCAAATTTTTACATCTTCTTTCTTTCCCATGAAAATAGTGCTGGTCCAGCTAGGATGGAGTATCTGTTAACACTATCGCGGACTGAACTAAGTGATACAATGACTGCTACTAATGCGTTAAGGTTCACTATATTTGCCATAACGCCAGTTTGCTATTCCTACTCCTAACTGAAATCTGTCAGTTTAATGAATGCTGTCTTAAGCTGCTACTGGAATGCTTAAAAGTTGGCTTTCAGAAAGTACGTACCAGAGTTAGGCTTAAAATCTAAGTTGCCAGTCAATCCATCGTACACTGTACTTATGTGTATGGAATCCAAGAGTTAAGTTCCAGTTTGTTCTTCACTTAGAGTGTCTAATTCCTATTTTATTAAAAATATATTACCTCTGCTTGATGAAATAAATCTTGAGTAGTTTTCAGAAGTCCTTCTCCTCTGTGTGAAATAATGAAAGCAGAATATATGTCATATACACTGTGGATTATTTTACCTGCTACTTGCACAATTTATAGTATCTCTCTATCATCCCCATTCACACCATTGAACTGTAAAATATCACTCTTTTAGAAGATACTATGTGCAGCAATAACTTACTACAGGAACTGCATTTCAAAATATCATATAAACACCTCAGTGGCTAGCTCACTATTGGGATATTAGCAATGGTTCAGTTCTCATCAGCTGAAAAAAGACAGAAATCCGTGTCTGGCATACTGAGTATTACTGGACTAGTAAGTAAGAAAAAATTTCAACTCTTAAACCACCCCCCTCTAAATTCTTCAAATAAGAAAGCAGACATTGCATGGGCAAGTTTCAGAAGAACACCTTCCAGTACAGCAGAAATCACTAATTCTAATCTACAGTTATATACGTGTGCTTTAATTCCCTTAAACTTGAAAGTATTTATGAACATGCTTAAAATGTTTTCCATACCCAAGGGATATTTAAATAGCTATTCTGCAACAAAACAGATATTTAGCACTTAAAAACCCCCCTAAATTTACTATTAAACAGCTTAGACACATAAAAGAATTTATAAAGTGTAAAGATAGAAATTAAAGCTAATTTCTGAATGTGTCCCTATTATTATACTCTGAAAATGAAGTTGTCTTTTTTCTTATAAACACTCTTAATGCTCTTCTTCCCACCAAAACATGCTTTATATAGTGTAATTACCTGGTAAATAAATACATAGAGTAGGCCATACTTGACATGCCTTGTCCATGTTGCACAATCTCATTCTCCTGATCTTCCCACTTCTCTGTCTCAGAATCCACATCAGATGTGAGCAGATGCAATTCTAATCCAAGTTTTGCAATTTTCGCCTGTTCCTGTAAATGGTAACCATATTTATGGCACTTAAAATACATTCCTCAGACAAGATAAAAAAAATTAAAGGTTTTTTTACTAAAATGATGGCATCTTACCTCAGTATCTAGTTTGACTGGCTTTAATGCTTTCAGATTTGCATTATGCTTCTGTTTCAAACAAAAAATAATATTTTTAAATAAAAGGAATTAATAGTCATTTTACTAACAAATCATAATAGGTGGTTTTATACTCAGAGGTAGACATTGAAAGAGAGTTACAGTGGTGCAACTTCTCAGTAGAAGCTGAAAACCTGTTCTGATCTGCCTGTCCCCCTGAAATGACATGTGCAAACATGGTCTGTGCCCACAGACACCCTGAAGTTTCAAGGACAAGACCTCTTTCACAGTTTTCAGACTCCTCTTCCTCATGCAGTACCATCTCTTACCCTCTAAATCCTTTGGGCTAAATAAAGTCTTCATCAAGTACGACTGCACTGATTTTTTTCCATCAAAGATGGTATCGATATAACAGGGACTTGGAAGTTGATTTATCTAGCAGCAAGCTGATCTACAGTACAACCCATGTAAACGCTGGTGTGACAATGTAGCTCATTATTCTGCGTCACTTTGTTGAGGTAGTTGGAAACAAATACCAATACTTTGATCTTTTTATGGGTTTCCATCTTTCATTTAAGTCATGAACTAACTGAAATGCCAGTCTGGCTGCAAGCCAAATATTAGCTAAGATTAAACAATAATGAGTAGTACTGATGTGGGTGGACTATCCTGATAAGGCAGAGCTTGCCAACTGCATAACACATATATACAGTAATACGTGTTTTATTTCAAATCAATTTGTATGTAGAGAGCAGCAATTCCTGACTCTAACTTCATATGCTGGTGCTGTCACTACACAAAGAGAGAAAAACAGACATGGGAGCCACAGTCCACATTCAGAAACTGCACTGGAGTGCAAGGAAGGGGAAGTACAAAGCTGGTGTCATAACTTGGTGTTGTGTGAGCCCCTGGAGGAGGCTGGATAACAAGAGTGCAGGACTGAGATCCTTGTCGGAGAGCCTGGAAAGAGCTGCTATTCATTAGTGGGAGTACTTGGGCAAATTAAACTCAGTAATGCCTGCCAGGGAAAAAAAAAAAAAAAAAAAAAAGCACTATTCATTGTGAACAGCATCAGAAATAAGCTCCAGGTGCCATCTCCATCTCTCACTTCAAGAATCTGAGCAAAAATAAAGTACTGCTATTGAAGTTCCTTACTGCAATTTGCTGCTCAGTTTTCTCTTTCGTGCCATTTCGCTTTTCCCATCCCAAAATTTTTATATGTTCTGAATCTTATGCATGTCTACCCAGATCAGACACTGTAATTCCACCTGAGCACTAGAAATGCTGATCTCATACCAATTTAACAAAAATGTAAGAACTCCTAATCATAATTTAATTTTCACCATATTGCACATTAGAGATGCAATTCAAGAAATGCTGGTTTTAAGGCAGAGTCTTGAAAGAAGAAAGGAACAGAAAGCCAAACTAGATCTGTATGTAAACACAAACTCTGGGCTACAAGGTATGGCAAATATTTAAGCTGATGAGTGAACGGTATTCAAAAAAACCAGCACTCAGTTAAGTTGTAACAATTAAGTTTTTCTATCCACAAGTAACTAAAGAAACCTCAGACAGTTTGTCAGATTTGTAGTTTTCTCCATGGTAGTGGTCACTCACCCTATCTGAATAGGAGAATTGGTAAAAATCAGGTAAGCAGTTATTCTGCTTTTAAAACATGATTCGACACCTAATACTATAGAGAAAAATATACCTATGCATTAAGCACACATATGAATCATCAGTACTGCTCTGTCCTCAACTATGGCATGGTCTAGGATGCCACTCATTACCAGCAAACAGCACGGTCATAATTAAACAGATGTAACAAAATATGTAATCTGATTAGATCAACAGGAACAGTGTGGTTTCTGTGCAGGAACAGCGTGGGTATTAGCCAGGCACAGCAGAGCTCTGTGATGGCAGTAGGGAGTGAAGACACACAGCACTGGGAAGAGAGGCAGTTCCAAAGGTTAGTGCATCAGTTCAGCAAAGAAATTACTCTGTGAAGAAACTCTGCTGTCTTATGGACATAATCTACATTTCCTGACTGCTTTCAAACCGTATATTAATTGTAACTCCCCCAAATCTATATATCTCGCAAAATTCAAAAGAAGGCAGCAACCTTTCAAATAACAACAAAGCAGAACTATCTAAATCCTGGGAGCAAAGTTTTATTGGAAGCATTTTTAAAAGGCATATGAATCAATAGTGAGAATCTCACTTGAAACATCTCTTCTTTAAATTTTGGCTGAAGTCCAGAAGCTGTGTAGCTTAGATAAACGAGTGAGGGACAAAAACCCTATCAAAAGTCACTGAACCAATCTATTTTCCAGCCTCAGTATTTAGTTCCATAACCATGAAATTCACCCATGCTCACCCAGCCTAACATTATATTCCATTTAAATCTGGAGATTTGATTTATAATGTATGACCTTTTTTCTTTCCATTAAGGGTCAGAAGTAGCATATTGTGTTTGAAGTCACAAATTGCACAACAGGAGACATGGAAACGGGATCATTTCACACCTGAATTCCTCAACACTACAGGTTAAGAAAACAAGGAGAGAAAGAAACAAGCTAAAACTTACTGTACCGTCTAAGAACATTCTTCCCCTTTTTCCTACCCATGAAAAGATATATAAGTATGTAGCAAGTGAATCAAATGACTGATTACATGATACCAACATGGTTTTAGGAGGTTTTCTAACACACAGATGCTCCCAGAAATAATGTAATATCAGTTGTAATCAGCTAAGGATATTAACTACCTAACTAAACCTGACCATATGAATTAGCTTTTTTCTCTGCATTAAAAACACCTAAGATGAAAGAAGGAAACAAAAACCATTATTTGAATAGTCTACAACAGGCTCAATCATGTCCACTTGTTCCAAATGGGTCAACTTGGGCAACAATGTTATAAAAATCAGATTACCAAGATATATTTTCAGTATCTTGCAGTGTATTCTTACTGTTTTAATAGAAACAATGCATTTTTTACTATACAGTGTGACAGCTGAGTACGTGGTAAAAAATGTCATATTAATGAACAGGTATTAAAGCTCATGTACTACCAAAGCATATTATGTAACTAATTATCCTGGTTTTCAGTATGTTTGTTACTAATTTAGTAAACTGACAAAGTTCAATATTTTACTATCCGCCATCCAGTCAGGATGAATGTTACCAAGATATTGCTATGTCCTCATCAAGGTGTGACACAGAAAGAAGTCAATTAGTTAACAGCAGATATAAAGTAAATACAACAATCCCAAAAGCAACTTACCCCTGGTCTGGGCAGTGACAGGTAGACACGCTTCTCTCCTATGAAGAACACACACATTTACACCAAAATTTGTATGCAGATTCTAATCAATGGGATCACATGCCTTACTTCATCCTTCCTTAAGTTGCAGTACTATAAAAGCAGATTACTTACCTGTAATTCCTCTGCTTTCGATATTGCAGAGGATTCCCTCTCTGTCTCATGTTTCCAGGGAGAGACCAGCCAAGAATTCTGTACCGTTCAGATTTTAGTTCTCAGCAACTAGCCGATAAGAAAGTTTCTCTGAACAGTTTCCCTCAGTAAGGTCTCTAGTGCCTTGCATGCAATCCACAAGTGAGTAAAGGAACTCCCTCCAGTGACTGAGTAGCTATCACTACATGCACTCATTTTATTGTAAAGTACAGAACATACAATGATAGTTCCATGTAAGGCTTTTCTTGGCATGGGTTGAATGGTCTAAAATTTGGAGTAGGCAATGCAACTAGTGAGAAATACGCAGGCAGGTTTTTCTAAGTAATGCAAATAAACCCCTCATTTGTACTGTACTATACATATCCCATGTGCACTGTATTTTATAAAGAAAAAAGTTCTATAGCCTTTTACACTTTCTGAATTTTTTCTTATATCCCCAGGAGCCTCAGATAGTCCAAGTCTAAGCAAAATAAATGGGAGGAAAAAAAAAAAAAAGATACTTTTAAGTGTTACCTAAAAGTGGGGAAGAAGAGTTTATCGGCAAGAGGAAACAGTGCCTGGGCTAACAGCCTAGATTAGAGCTCCCATTACCTGAAAACTTAAAATTATTTATGAATAATTACAATAGATGCAGGAGAGGAAAGTCTGCTAAATAAAATTAAAATAAAATTAATAAAAAACTTAAGTTAGTGAAAAATAGATTTTACCTGAAGAAACAAAAGGCTTCTATAATGGATATTTGTACCAGGTTTGCATAGAGATCATGAATCATTCAGGTTGGAAAAGACCCTTGGGATCATCGTGTCCAACCATCAGTCCTACTCTACAAAGTTCTCCCCTACACCATATCCCCCAGCGTCTCATCCAAACAACCCTTAAACACATCCAGGGATGGTGACTCCACCACCTCCCTGGGCAGCCTGTTCCACTGTCTCAACACTCTTTCTGGGAAAAGTTTTTTCCTAATGTCCAGTCTGAACCTCCCCCTGTTGCAGTTTAAAGCTCTTCTCTCTTGTTCTATTGCTAATTACCTGTGGGAAGAGACCAGCACCAACCTTTCTACAATGTCCTTTCAGGGAGCGGTAGAGAGTGATGAGGTCTCCCCTCAGCCTTCTCCTCCTCAAACTGAACAGTCCCCGCTCCCTCAATCTCTCCTCACAGGATCTGTTCTCCAGGCCCTTCACCAGCTGTGTTTCCCTCCTCTGCACTCGCTCCAGCACCTCAATATCTCTCTTGTTTTGAGGTGCCCAAAACTGGACACAGTACTCCCCGTGTGGCCTCACCAGTGCAGAGTACAGGGGGACTATGACCTCCCCTCTTCTGCTGGTCACTCTATTTCTAATACAAGCCAGGATGCCGTTGGCTTTCTTGGGCACCTGGGCACACTGCTGGCTCATGTTCAGCTGCTTGTCAGTTAGAACCCCCAGATCCTTCTCTTCCAGACAGCTCCAGCCACACCTCCCCAAGCCTGTAGCCATGCAGGGAGTTGTTGTGGCCCAAGTGCAGGACCTGGCACTTGTCCCTGTTGAAGCCCATCCCGTTAACGTTGGCCTACAGGTCCAATCTATCCAAGTCTCTCTGTAGAGCCTCCCTATCTTCATGCAGATCGACATTCCCGCTTAACTTGGTGTCATCTGCGAACTTACTGATGATACGCTCTATGTCCTTATCAAGGTCATCAATAAAGATGTTGAACAGAAATGGTCCCAACACCGAGCCCTGAGGAACACCACTTGTGACCAGATGCATCTTGACAGACAAAGGACAAGCAACAAACTCCCCTACAATTTATATTTCTTCCCCTTATATCACCTCCTAGAGAAATTCCATTCTGAGTCCTCAACAGACAGTTGTCTTGTGCATTCATGACTTTTTGAAAGTATGCTCTTCATCTCCTGACACCACAGAAAAAAGATCATAAGCTTCCTGTCTGGACAACTGACTCCTAAAAACCAAATTTCAGTAAGTTGACAAGTGTCTCTCAGCCCACTTGATAAGTATGAAAAATGTAATTCGTCCTTTCTAAGATTACCTCTTCCTTCCCCGACCCAGTTTTGCGAAAGATGAAATGACCTATCAGGACACAAGCTGCCAGTTTTTTTCACAATGCAGAATTATTCAGATAATAATTGCCCAAACATGCATCCAAGCAAGATTTCTCACTAAAGACTGACAGAAATTCTAAGAAGTGATTTAGAACGTCCTATGTACCAAAATGTCAGCTAAAGGGCATATAAGAAAGCATGTAAGATCTGCCAAGAACAAAAGCTAACTTGTAAATTAAAAAAAGCTATAGCATGAAAGATTTCCTTGGTGCTACATAAAAGCCTGTTGTGCCATGTTAAAAAAAATACCTTCAGACACAGGAAGCTTTGACATAGCAAACGGAATATGAATTCATACTGAGAGGACGTACTACTCACACACACAAGGTGGGCATTCAAAATTATGGAAACCAAATGGGAAGAGGTGGTAAACAAAAAAAAAATAAAATTTTTTTTTTTGCTCTTCAAGCAATCCCCATCATTTGGCTTTGCAAGGTTTAGTTGCTCACTATATTCAGAAAGAGGAAGTATCTCACTATCTATTTCTTGGAATATTTAAAAAACAAACAAACAAACAAAACCAACCAAAAAACACCCACAAAACCCCCACTTCACTGGACTCTCAGATACCAGACATTTCAAAAGTTCAGATCAACAGGCCAGAGATAATTCTACTTAATCAGAAAATACTTCATTACATCAGTATAATCACAGAATTTATATTTGATTCCATTAACAGAATACACATATTTTTTCAGCTATTTTAATTTCTTTAGTTAAAAGAAAAAAAGAAAAAAGTCAGATCTTTGCTGTAATAGCAAAAGGCTTTTTGCCATATTATGATCTTCCTTCTGTTTATTGGAGTCTGCCTTTGTTTAGTCTAATGTTTTCTCTAACATTCTTTTCCTTTTTTTTTAATTTAAAATTATTTTTTATTTTACTCTGTCTTTCAATTTTCTGCTTTCCAGTGGTCCCAGTCATGTTTTTCCTCCAAAATGTCTCTATTCCAACTAATATATCCTGCTTTTGACCTCACTTCTTATCTGAGTATAGGATGGCTGCATCCCTGCTTCATCCTTCTTTTTTAGAACTCTCATTTCTAAATTCTGAAATTCTGATCTGTATCCCCTATTCATCAACCATGGCCCTCCCAGATCCTCATGGTCATTTAACTCCTCTCAAATCAAATGGGCAAAGCAAAAGAGGAAGGCAGAAAAGGAAGTTATCTTCATAAATCATTCTCTTACTTCTGACCAAGTTACAAGGGAGCAATCTGGGGATTATTCACATTCTTCTCCAGCATGTTGAAACCAGAAAGTTAGAAAAAGAAGATTGGCTGACATCCAACAGATTGGATCAATGAGAGGTGCTTTTGTTGGGTGATTCATTTGAAAATGCAAGAGCCTCAAAGTTAAGTATCTAACCTAAACTAGTAAGAAGTCTGGGAACAAACCGTTCCCTTTATGGGCTGAACCAAATCTCCAAGCTAACAGGAACCACCTCTAGAGAAGCCCGGCACTCTCCTCAGCCTAGACCAGCCACATAACGCTTCCAACACCAACACTGTACAGAATGGGTGCTGTAAGAATCCCCACTGCTTGATTAAAGAGAGGATTAGGATTAAGCAAAAGGGAACCAGCTCCACCTCACTGTACAGTTCTGCATAGCACAGAGACTTTTTCAAAATACATGTGAGAGTTACTGGGCTGTGGTGTGCTCACCAACCTCCCCCACACCTACATGCATGTGCATCCCCCTCCCCAAGACAAGCCCATTTCAATTTGGGCATGAGCTGGGGCAAATACAAAATTGAGTAACATATTGCTTCATTTCCAAGCTGAATCCAGCTCTCTACCATCTGAGTTTTGAACCTCAGTATGAGAAACACCTGATTTGCTGATATTAAATAAACACTGGATGAGGAATTATGCAAGTGCTCCTAAAAATAAATCAGTATAAACAATGGGAATCCAGTATAAGCAGAAAAATGTTTCTTTTATTTGATGTGTCCAGCACATTTAGTCACCATTCAATTTTTGCCTCTTAAACTGTATTCTTGAACTCTCTAACAAAGCCAAACATTTACATTGGTAGTACAAAAATACAAGTTTTTAAACCGAGGAGAAAAAAAATATATACCTTCTTACTGTAATTCTGTCTTTTGTTACACACAATCACAATTCTACTAGGAATAAAGCACTTGTTAACATTTTAGTCTGTAAAATAAAGACACTTTTACCAACCTCAACATTAAGACAAATATGATGAGCTATGCAAAAAATAAAATCTTATAAAATATTGTGCAACTTCATTGTGTTTGGAGGCAAAAGTTTTGTGGATGCCATTCTTATAATCTGTTAGCAAACGAATAGTTTATTTATTGGGTCATCAGTTGTGTTTTCTAGGACAAAAATAATGTGGAAAGTGGCAAAGTAAGTTTAGGGTATTTTCTGGAAGTAAAAAGGTAAGATTTTTTCCTTTTTTTTTTTTTTTTTTTTTTTTTTGACGAGAGTCACTCTGAAGTCCAACAAGAGAAAACAGAAAATAAGAAACAAAGATTAGCCCACAGGACAGAGGAAAACTTTGTAGAAGACAGGTGGATACAGAACACCAAATTATTTCTAAGGAGATAACTGACAGTTAATATGAAACAAGACAGATTCAGAGAGAAGCAGCCCCTTACTAGGGTGGGCCATGAGACAAGGGAAACAAAGACATGATTTCTTAAGCATTGTTTTGGCAATACGAGACCTAATTCACCCAAGACCATATACGGAATATAAGCTATGCTTACCATCTTACCAATGGTGGTATCAAAACACTTTATGCTGAAAAAAGACTGAGGAAACGAGAGACACTAACAAGAACAGACTCATCTGGCTACGCCAAACAGGAGAAGGTAAGTCTTCACTGCACCCAGGCCCACGCATACTATAGCCTCCAACATGCTCAGCAACACTTAGCCTTTCTCTTTTCTCTCCTTCAAGCAATGACATTGGGTTGCCTTGTGAAATGATTCTTTAAAGTACCACTTGTGGAAACTGTTTGTTTTCTGCTGTCAACAGTCACAAGAGAAGAGAAAGTTACTAACTACAGAGGAGGCTGGGAATCTGTCACAACACTTCAAGAACTATTTGTTTGGAGAGCCAAGTATATGCTTTGCTATGGCTGCTTGATTCTCCTCCTATTATTTTTAAATACAGTAATATATGTATATATATGTATACACACATGGACACATATATATGAATATAGAAAAAGATTATCATTCAACCCTGCTAGACCATTGTATGAATATGAAAAAAAATCAGATACTGAATGATCAGCCCTGCAAATTCTGAATTTATTGTAATACAGTAATATTAGAGTAATACCATATTTTAAGTTGCATTATATAAAATTTAATGCTATGTTCAAAGAAAGTCAATATGCCTTTGGCTCCCAAAACAAATAAAAAACCCACTGAAATTTAAAAGGCCCATAAACAGGATCTCCGATTGCTACATGTCTTTCTATGGCATTCCAGACCAAGGTGGGAAAACAAGTAGGATAACAATCATGTATTTATCAAACACCTCAAATTCCAAATAACCTGTTACACACAATTATTGTAAACTCACTCAGCATTTCAATATATGTTTTCCTTTTACAAGTCTTCAGGCTCAGACATGCTTTCATCTAGCAACCAGCAGCAACAATTTAAGATACTACTGCCCTATGGTTGGTTGTTTACTGTCTTCACAACAATGCTGGCGTAAAAGAACTGATTACACAAAAACCTAATCAAGTACAGAAAGTTAAACTGAAAAAATAAACTCTAAAAATTAAAAAAGGTCTCACATTAATAGCAAGATATATTGTATCATTGATAAAGTGTCATCTAACCTGAATAAGGATTTACTTTTTCTGTATCTTAGATACAAGAAAATGATGCCCCTGTATTTAACTAAATCTAAACTTTTAAACCTGAGTGATTTTCTTAAAAATACAAGACATTCATTATTATATATTACATTCTATCTGTATGCAATTATACCTTAAAGACTGAAACAAACACGTAGCCACAAGAAGTATGACAGGCTACACTAAAGACAGCATCTGAAAAAAACCTGTCACATAAAAACCAAAATGGTTTCCATTTTAAACATAAATTACCCTATGCTAAAAGTAAACACAGAATGTTTTTCTTAAGATTCCAAGGTTTTCTTCTACATGTTGTACAAATACCAATAAACTTACCAACCAGAGAAAATATCCCAAGATAGTGCAGAGTCGTCAGAGATTCCATCCAGGAGAAAGGACAGCAGTTTAAAAATCAAATAACTACATTCACTACATTATGAAGTGAATACAAGGCAAGCTGACAGTATAGAATATATGTATATATATATTTTCCAGAAATACAGGCAATTAATTAAGCATGTCACACAATTCAAGTTACATCTTGATTGTCCTGAACTGATATGTCCTAAACAAACTGAAAGGTGGGATGAAAGCCCTACACCTACACCAAATATTTGGACACTGCTGGCAATGAGCTGTGTCAAATACTTTTGTGTCCACTGAACAGTTCCATTTGATTTTCCTGGAACTAATCACAGTACAGAATGTTAAATATACCTAATTTTACACAAAGTAACCTTTAAATTTTTGGCTGTTTTTCTGTGAAAAAATCCAATATGCACCTCAATTTAGCATCTTTATAAAAGCAATATATTTGTGTCTTGTCACCTAGATTCCACATTGTCATATGGGATGTGGGATTGTTTATTGTGCTCTTAAGAAAAGAGTATTTCATAAATAGACTTAACATTTTTAGTCTACATGTTTTGAAAATTATATTTTTCTATTTCTACATAGCATTCTTACCTCTTCTTCCTTCAAACACATCATTGATTTCTCGTAACAACATAGACATGTCACTCAGTTGAGACTCCCAGGCCTCACAGAACACCTCAAGATTTTCCTTTGCAATCTTGCTAGATGGATGTAACGCCAGTGTTTCTGCAGCAGAAATTATCTGGACAGAGAACAAAATGTTTGCTGTTGGAAGTCCTAGTACATAGCATTGCACATGAATTCACAAATGTTGTCACAGGCAAAACACAAAATCAAACTCCTATTATTAAGTCTTTGTAGTGTATTCATCTGACATTTGCATGCTTGATCTTCCTTGTGCATTCTTTTAACAACTGCCCAATATTAAAGTGTAACTCCTTCTTAGAATTGCTTTGGACAGTTCAACATTAGGTCTCCAAAAAATAAATACAAGCAATTTTTATTGATTCATGTCCAGCAGAAGTGGCCTGATAAAAGCTAAGCATACCTGTGGGCCAGTGACCTGAAAGGTATCTTCTGCATGTATGCAAGTTATCTCAAGGGGCTCAGTTCCAGAAACATGTCTCAATAAGCGACACACCTAAATATTTTTTATAAAGATAGAAGAATGGTAAAAAATGCATAAATAAATAAATAAACAAACAACAATGATTTTACATATTTATGACCAAATAACCTGAAAGTAATCAGAAATGTACAGATCTTGGAAAAACTGTAGCATAAATGATGACACCAAACCAGTCTTACTCAGCAATTAGCAACCATGTAGAAAATTTAGTCTTTCATCATCCAGGGGACTGAATTATCTTTGAGAAATCAGCATCAAATTAATCTGGGGAAGACTAATTATTTTCATAGTAAACAACATGTGGTAATTTTTTATTTTTCTTTTTTTAAATAAAATTAAGAGTGAACTTTGGCCTGAGAAGGAACATTGAAGTTTTCTGATCAAAAGGAGAATTTGCAAGACAGAGACAGCACATGTGAAACTAACTGCACTGTCCATCATCAGAAATGCTGTAAGGCCTCATATACAAACACTATTTAACCTCATGTTTATGCCTGAAAAAAAAAAAAAAAATCAGCATATCACTGCAACACTATATAGTCACAGAAAAAGGGGACATTAAAGCTGAAAATAAAAAGCCATAGTATTGAATTGACAGTCCAGAAGTTCAAGGGTGTTGCTTCTGCATATTCATATTTCTGGGACAAATCCTCAAGCCCCATATGATATCAGAATTTTTTAGAAATTTTTAAGTATTAGATGCCATGCAAATATAGTTGCTGGCATCACCATGTTCCTAATCAAAGTGATGTATCTTTGTATGTCTCCTACTTGTACAGTTAATTCTGCTCATCTGTCAGAGAGAGCAACAAGGTATGCATGGCAGATATCCTCTCCACTGGCACTCCCAAGAGCCATCATCTCTCAGTAGTCTCAGAAGTCCTATTTGTTCACATGTGTGAATACAACCATACAAAACTATGACTGTATTATTAGTACATGAAACATACACACTGCTTTTCGCAAAGGAGAAAAGATTTTCAGTGGCCCTCTTGTCTGACACAAACTACACAAGATCTCCAAAACAGTCAAGTTCACTGCATTAAGAAAGTTAACCTTACACTTCCAGCATTCTTAAAACATGTCTTTGGATTCAGCTGTTGATGGAAGCAGAAAAAGACTATCATCTCTACTTGGATCTAGAAACTTATTTTTTAATGAATATTTTAGCCCCAATATATACATACAGATTGAGACTAGATCCAGGAGGAGAATTGAGCATGCCTGTACATCCCTTCTACAACAACTGTAGACACAGTGACACCTCTGGCTCAGACCCTACCAAGAACAATACAAAATTCAACAGCATACTAGGAAAATAAAATAAATAAAAATTACAGAATCACAGACCAGAGCCTTCCTAAAGAACAGATTAAGACAGATCTGGCCACTCATTTTCTAAGTGCCTTACAAAATGAAAGCAGATGTGAACTCACCTCAACAAGTTGTTCTTTCTGCTCTGATAGCTTGCAAGTATATTCTGCTACAGCTTCAAGATTTCCTTCTACTCCTGTGATTTTTAATGCTTTGAGTACCATATGATCTGTATGGTATTTTAGGAGATCAGCTGCCAAAGATGTTGCTGCACTGTGGACCTTGAATAGCATTAAAAGAAAAAGAAAAAAATAAACCTTGGAAGGAAAAAAAAAATCATCCAGTATCAAGTCAAATAAACTTAGAAACATACTGATTTTTCCAAGTAGCAAAAAATTTACTCCCATGAAAGCTCATATACAACCTGCATATTATCTGGGGCTTTATTTCTTCTATTACTATTCAAAGATAAAATCCACTGCATTCCAAAAAAAAACCAAAACCAAAAACCAAAAACCAAAACAACCCACAACCAAATATGGAGAGAAACAAAAGAGCAGCTACATAAAATGAGAACATGAAGTTATCACACTGCAGCTTTCTGATAATGTTACAGCTAAGAAAAAAAAAACATGTATGAATTTGTGGGGCACCAAGTTCAGCATAAGTATTGCACAATGGCTATTCCTCATGAAGAACACACACTAAACTGTGTGAATCAGACTGAAGCCACACAGTATTGTAGCTTACAATGTATTAGAAATTCAGTTCTTATGAATAAATTGAATTCTCAGTGATGCAAAGAAAAGCTTAAATATAATCAGCTTGTGACACAGCCTCAGAAAAGTAAGAAGCATCTTTTTTGCAAGGATACTGAAGCCAGAGATGGGTCTTGGAGAAGTCTCACTCTCCTCTACACTCCCAACAAGCAAAGGAGAAGCTTTCCCTTGAAGCACATCTCTACATCCAGACACACCTTCAGATCCACAGATCTGCTGAAATTGTGCTATGAGGGACTCTACCCGACAACAGCTATCAGCAACAATTGCTGCTAGTTCTAGTGACTAGTCATAGCAGGTTTACCTATGCCCTGTAATCAGCCTCATTTTAAAAATATAGGTAAAAACAAAAGAGCAACCTCTTTAGAATCAGCAGAGCATTCTTATGCTCATAAGACTATTATGAACCTTGTAATATTACACTCACTTTGATGGACTACACTGAATATACAATAAACTTGGCTGTTCAAGAAGAAAATTATTTTTCAAGTTCTTATGAATGCAGTGAGCTTGAAATTGTGACACTGGTGGGCCTTGACTCTGTAGAGAAGAGAATGTTTACTAGAACGGTATGTTGGCTTTTTATTCCATGGGACTCTACCTATTTTATCCCCTTCCCCTGGCAGTACTTCCTGTGCAGTCCAGAATTGAGGGAGGTTTTGGGTTGGTTTGGGTTTTTGTTGTTTGGTTGGTTTTTGGGGGGTTTTTTGTTTGGGTTTTTTTTTGTGGGTTTGGTGGTTTTTGGTTTTTTTTTCATCTAAGAAACCTGAATTGTTGCCTCAAAACCGGCTGCAACTGGTTTTTAGAGGGGAAAAAAACCAGCTACAACATGTTATAAGCTATTTATATAGTGTTGCTTACATGCCATTAAAAATTAGCACGAACCACCAATCTCAGAAATTAAGTCAGCTCTGAAGAAAGGTTATCTGCAAGGCTTGTAATATAAGAGTAGGAACTGGTAATTCTCATTTATATAGAGGCTACATAGAGATTACCTTTTCATTAGAGATTCTTTTAATCCTGATCTAAAATTTACTTCTACTTAATGCTGTCTCTGATCATCATCAGGAAAATATCTCAAGGAAGGAACACACCTTTTGTTTCTTCCATAAAGTGACAGAGATGGGAAAAGAACTACTTTTAACAAGGCTGTCTTGTGTTCTCAGCCACCCAGACTCTCAAAAACATTTTAGTTAGTCACAATACTTAAATTTCACCAACAAAGATCCTGGTTGCTGACTGATACACTGCAGCACCCAAAGTTAAGACTGACAGGACAGTCCTCCTCAGCCATGTACAGAGCATGGGATCAATCTAATCACTACACAGAAAACAAGACAAATAACATAATACTCTAAATTTACTTCTACAAGTAGCATCAATCCTGTGCATTTTAAAAAAAGCTCTTACTAAGCAAGCTTTTATACTCAGCAGGTCACCAAAGCAAGTCATACAGCACTTAGAATTTGTTAGTTTAGAAATCCACACCCACTCAATTTGCTCCACAATTTCTAAACCAGCATGCTACATTTTCACCTGCATTGCTTTTAATATAGAGCTACATCACAGGGCACAGGTAACCCACTATTTTGTGTTTTATGCCGCTGTCTGTTAGCTGGTTTACAGAAGGTAATTTTCTATTATCATCATCTGACAAAATTCTCTTAAGTGTGGTAAATGTGTAGTCTTTGTTGCACAACATTTTCATAAACACAAACCTGCAGGCAGGAAAATATGGTAAGATTTACATTTATGGAGCTGCAAGAAAATACAAGGCATTAATGATTTCTTCCACATACTATATTCCAGCGACCTTTGGCTTTATGCAATTATATAGTCGCATACTATTTTGACTGGGAACCCTTCCTCCTCAATTCAGCAGATGAGAGCGATGTTACTCCAAAAGGATGATCTTACAGTTAAAGCAGCTGAACGTCACTCCGGAAAAGCTCTGCTACTGACTTCCTACATAACGGTAACCAAAGAAAAAGCTATTCATCAAAGTGCACAAATTGTGTATCCTCCATTTTTGGGATACCACACAGCCTGACAGGAAAAGCGCAAAGCACTTAACTGCACCTGAAATAGATTCAAAGCAGTGTTCAAATCTTCAGGACAGCTGCAGGAACTATAATCCAGAAGATGAAATTTCTCATTTTGCCCCTATTAAAAAATATGCAGCATGATATTTTTGAGCAGTCGAGGTTTTCCAGTTACAGCAGCAGAGAGCTCAGACTAAGCAAGTTCACCATACTTCTCTGACATCTTTGCACTGCTCTGTAGCCTAGTACTGAAACCCTCACTGTCCTTAGTCTTCAATTTTCCATCTGTTTAAAGGAACAATAATATGAAGCAGATGAAAAGATATCTAAATGCTCCACAAATATTTCAGAAGCTGCCAGAAACCAGTAATTGCATATTTAGCTCAAATCTGTGGCAAGGCAGCAATGCTATCTGTTAACAGGTGAGCAGCAAGTGCAGTCCATCCCATGTACCATATTCGTATATAAGTTCTTACTCAGCATGCTTGCATATAGGAAGAGAATGATTTGCAACAGGCACATACACAGGTGCAACTGTCTAGAAAAATACCAGAATATAGGGCACTGTCATAATACATTTCTGCTGTAGAAATCAGTAGAACAGGTTAAGTTCAAACAGTAAATGTAATTTATTAATTTAAGCACAAACTACAAAAAAAAAAAAAGTTAAAATGTGTTATATGCATCCCTGAGGAAAGTGTAGCCTTTACATTTAAAGCAGTGATTATATATATAGTATTTATTTCCAAACACTTCTCGTTTTTTTAATTGTTGCCAGAGTTAGCAAAGAGCCTATGTAACCAATATATTGCTAATCACTTCCAAGTAAGGACACAGAAGATGACTGCATACTAGCTCCCTGATGCAATTCTGATTTAGCTACTCTTGTCTATAAATAGATACTAGCCTTTTTGGGTACAGGATCCTACTTTACAACTCCACATAAAACAAGTCAGAAATTCAATCTTTTATGCAGTTTATGCTCGCTTAAACTAGACCTACCTCTCTTTTAAGTTCATTCATGCACTGACATGTCTTTAAAATGGCTACTTCCAAGTCTTCCATGAGATCCTTTGTCTTCTGGTTTTGCTACAAGCCAAAGAAAGCAACCGACAAAACATTACACACAAAACCCAGCAAATCCCACCTTCACATCATGTGTCATTACTTCAAGCTGCTTTAGAAGACAGCCTTTTCTTTCTAGATGTAATGTTTTCATCTGCCCACACTGTGTATATTCTACCTGAAAAATTCTTTTACAGAAACATTTATCACCAAATCAAATCTAAATATAATAGTGATGCAAACTAATTGACTGTTTCTGTTCAACAGGAATTTATTTCTAAACCTCAACGAATTTTTTTTTCAGGAACAAGTTTCCTTAAGCTTTACAACTTCCGAAAATCTTCTCTCTAAACATCCTACAGTAGAGCAACAGTTTAAGGCATTTGTAAAATTTTCTTTTCAAATATAAACACCCTTTTAAAACAAAGTGGTACCTCAAATGTTCTATATTGAATTACAAGGAAGCTACTTAAAGCATCCTTGTAAGACTTTAGATCATTGTCTAATTTAAGAAAATACAGTAGCTAACAACATTTTGTTAAGGTACCTTCAAGACAGTTCCCACTTCTGCACATAGCACCTATCTATGGAACTACCGAAATGTCAAGAGGAAACAATACACTGGGGAAAAAAAAGTAGCAGTGATTTTGCATTCTCCTCCAAAATATATGGGAAACAATTATCCTAGGTGGGGTGGTTAACATGGCCATAGCTGAAGAAAAATTAAGCCCTTCAGAGTCTAAATTAACATAAACATACACATACAAAATGTGTGTAGGTATAGACACGCACATACTCCGTTTTATTTAAAGGAAAAAAAACCCCACCCAAGCCAATATGATCATCATCTCAGATACTCTTACCTGTTCTAAGTCTCAAAGCTACCTGTCCTTCAATTTTAATGCTTTCTTTTAATTAATTTGTAAAAGTGTAACATCACAAAATCACTTTTAACACAAGGAGCATAATGTTTTACAGTCACTAGTGTCCTTTTTATTCTTTTACTTATTTCATGTGCATGTTTTTGCTCCTTCTGTATGCATTTTTTTTTTTAAACAAAAATAAAGGAAGTGTCTAGTCAAAATACAGTTACAGGAAAACCTTAAACAGGACAGTAGCTTGCAATCTTATGAGCTCAAACACATACAGGAAAGATTTCAGAAACATTTAAAATGCAATCAACAGCATTAATTATCTGTTGTGTTCCAGCTAGTTTTCATTAACATACAATAATTCAAAACAGAGCAGATGAGTGATGTTAGTCTAATTTAGACCTGACCTAGGTTACAACACACTTCTTACAGTTACTCCACTTGCTAAAAGAAATATGGTAAGTGGAAAGGGAAATAATTGAGTACTCTAAGAGCTCTACCTACCCCCAGTTCATATATCTCCAAGACACAGTAATTTTTTTTTTTTTACATCAACAATTCCACTTGAAGTCCCTCAGAAAATATTACCCTCCAATGAAGTTGCTGAGATGAAACTAAAAAGCTACCTCAGTCAGCTGATGCTATTTTATCTGCTTATTGTGTTTTCAGTCACAGCTAGGCTGGGTTATTTATTAATGAAAATACTTAATGTATAAGCACACATGTGCACGCCCAAGTATTTTCATGGATCATATATATGCATAGTCTTGTACTAGGCTCTCATTTCTATCACTTGAAATGTAGCATGTGATATTTAGAGGTGATCATTTTCCACCAGTAATAGAGCTTAGAAATACCCAAGTGTACTCATTTTGGTTGGACAGAATTAATTTTCTTCATAGTATCTGGCATGGTGGTGTTTAGGATTTGTGATAAAAACAGAGTTGATAACAAGCGGATGTGTTAACTATTGCTGAGCAATGCTTACACAGCTGCCTACCAGGGCTAACCATCAACACCAAGCTAAATACAGTTTTAGCCTCTCAGAGATACGGGATTCTACACAACTAAAATCGTGTATGTGTCTTCTTTGTAATAACAACAGTCCGTACTATCAATAAGATTTATATACTCTTCAAACTACACTACTTAATTAAAGAACACCTGGCTGCAGCATCTGATTCAAAGAGGAGAAAAAGAATAAAAATGCTTTCTCATAAGTAATACACTCAGTTGAGTAAGTATTCTATACTTCAGTGTTGGTGAGATTTTGTGCTATATGTTTCCCCAGGAACAAGACTGAAAGCAGGTCAGCATCAGAAACAAAAACTGCATTTTCCATCTCTGCTTTTCCTCCCTCTTTTGCATGTATCTTCTATTGTCTTCAAGGAACAAGATAAGAAAAATGACCGAGGCAGACTTAATGTGCTTCTTCTCTAAAAAGGAAAACTACCAACATTTAAATCTTGTAAAAAGGACAAACAAAAATTGCCTGTAAGTCATAGTGTCACTTTCTTCTCCTCAAGATTAAAAAAACAGTCTTTTTTTTTAATATTTTTCACTTTTCAATAGTTTAAGTGTTTTCAATATTCTGTTGAAAACAAGAAAGGGAAACTGTGGTCACTGCAATGAGATCAAGAAAATTGAAAGTTTCTGATCTACTCAACCAAAAGACTAACTGTTTTAAGACTGTGCAATGATACTTCCATTCACCTTCATGTTTCCACTTCCAGCTTCATTAAAATTAGTCTACCACCACTGGTAGCCTAATTCAGCCATCAAAAAATCAATGAAGCAATACTACTGGGGCAGGGAGAAGACAAGACATACTGAAGCTGCAGAAGCACAGAACAAACTCTGGCTTTCTTGATCAGCTCTCACTGTGATGAATACACACATTTCTCTCTTCCTAGACCAGAAGAAACACCGCATTAAAAATTTCTTTCCAAAGTAGAGGTGAAAAGATTTACTTTGCTAAAAAGCTCTTACAGCTTGCATCCACACTGAAACCAGATGCTCGAGTTCCATTTTAGCCTGTTTAGACAGCTCCAAAATGTGTTCTCTGTGCTCATGACTGGTATAGGCAGAGTCTGTGAAGTCCTCCGTATGTTCCAGGATAACTTCCAGCATTGTCGAAAGGTTCTCTTTTGAGAGAAAATAAAGATTCTCACGAAGACCTTCCACCTTATTCTGAAAAAGAAGCATATCAGTTCCTTGAGAATTTAAGTGGTTATACAGTTGTGATGCAAATGCAGAAAGCAAATGCATAATTTTACATTGTATTTTTCTCCTCAGTGCTTTTTTTATTATTCACTTATTTTCAAAGTAATCCAACAATTTGCTTATATCCAGACCTCCAGTTTAGGGTTTGGCATTTTTTTATATGTAATACCACCATCAACAAATTACTGGCCACTTACAGAAGTAACAGCAAATACATTACTGTTCTAGTGCTGTCAAGAAAACGTTTTAAGTTCAGTAAATTTCAGAAACTAACTGTGTATTCAGATTTTGCTTGATTTTTCCACATCCATATAATCTATTTTGCGTATTTTCCTAAAAATTTACATGTAGCAAATTGAACACTTTAAGGCACTCTGCAAAAATTTCAACCAAATTCTAAAGGAGGGGTAGGATAAATAAATAAAAGTAATAATAAAATCAAAGTGACAGACTCCAAAGAAATAAGACATGTTTGTTCCTTAATTGTTCTTAACTGAGTATGAAATTTAGAAAAGCCTTTATCAGGAAAACTGAGCTACAAGATATATTTTCAATTTGTAACATTTCCTTCGAAAGAATTTGCTCTTTTAAATGTTTGGATGAATATTTTGGTGTGCAGTTTTAAGAATACTACCAATTACAAATAAGAATTCTTCAACAACTATTTTAATGAAGCTCTGATTGGCATCCTGATACTTGAGTTTATTCAACATCAAGGCATCACCTCAACAAAACATTAAGAGTTCTGAATGCATTCTGATTCAGGAGAAGATGGCAAGTATCAGAAGGTGTATTTTGGCAATGACAATCTTGTCAGATTCTCTAACATTTGGGACAGTTATTTAACATTGCTGAAAAGACGAAGCTCCACCATTTGGCAATTTTTAAGTTTTAATTATTTATTTTTTTTTTCAAAATCCTAGTTTTGATGTAATTTATTAGGCTGTAGAAAACAATACTATTTCTACTCTTACCTTGAATTCTTTGATGCCAGAATATATGCTGATGGGGGCCATTTCATTTTCTCCGTTTGGTCTAGAGTCGGTTACAATTTCTATTACCTGTTCTAAAGCTAATCTCATCCGATGAAAAACTCCATCTTTGTTTATACGAGCAGATTCACAGTCTGGATGCCTCAGACAAGTCTTTTTAAAGAAAGCAAAATAAATATTATGAAAGAGTACACATGCTATATAGCAAAATGAATCCTTCCTGCTAAGGCAAGTCTAAAGAATGTGTTAGAATAAGATTAAATTCTTTCTGTTAAACTGCTATTGTGTTAAGTAGAATTCATAACATACTCAGAATATAAAGATTTTCCTCTGTTCATTCTTTACTCTTACGCTCTTCTTTAACATGAAATTTAAAGTAGAGATTAGAAAGAAGAGTCAGCTATCCTGCCAGATGCCATACTCTGTGATTTATCCAAGTTGTGTAAGAGTGTGGATACTCACTCACCTTTGAAGCAGTTAGAAGCATCATGGTGCACTTCTCAAGAACAGCCCTAGATGCTGCCATTCTGGCCTTTTTCTTCTCATCCTTCAAATCCTAAACACCAAAATTAAAAATGACCTGAATATTACACAATATCTAAAATGTTAACTGTTTGTGAGACTGGAAGAAGGAAACTTGCAGATGGATGAATTGTGAGAAAGTTCCTTTATGTCTGACAACTGCTATTTTCAGCCTAACTCATGATCTAGAACTTGCTTTTCAGACAGACCTTAATTTATGCATTTATTCTTGGCTCTATTCAATTCATATTTCAAAGAAGGAAGATGTCAGAGATACAGAACATATTATGTAAACTGTCACTAATTTTGCTATCTTTATCATATAGTGTTATTCATAAAACAGAAAAATGAGATTAAAAGAATAGCTGACTAAAAAATATTTTCTGAAATGGAGGGAGGGTAAGGCAAAGACAGAGAACACCACACCACATTGTCACTGTACTGCGGTGAAGGAAATGTAAAATAAATCTTTTGTCTAACTGTTATATTTACTACATAACAGTAATAAAGGAAGTTTTCACAGGCTAAAAAAGCATTTCCTCTATAGAAAGGCACTGAGTACAGAAACTGTTCAAGAACTCTCCAGGGAGAAGGATATACCTGCAAACTGAACTATACCCCCTGAAAAGTTCACCTAAAGGGAAGAATTTAGAGTCCAAATTGGGATGTGGGTGCGAGGGAGGGAAGAGGGCAAGACATGAATCCCTCAACATGTAAGCTGATCTAATTTACAAAGTTAAAACTATGATCTTCTCAATGCTCACAAAGATAGCTGAGTGCTATTAGACAGGCAACTGAATGAGACCAGCAGAAAAGGGAACAGTTTACAGGATGAAATTAATCCTAATTTACCCCAGATTAGCAAAAAAAAAAATCCAGATAAATCACAGCAGCAGTCTGTTTTGACATTCTTATAAAAATCTTATTTAGCAACTACAGAAAATATTTAAGATCAAAATCACATTAAAAAAAAAAAACAACCAAACAGTTCATTTATGAAATTTTGACATTACATTCTGATAAATCTGGCCACAGTCAAGAGTTTCTGGCATACTTATTATATATATACTAAGAAAAAATACGTTGAGGGATGCTCCTCCCAATAAAACTAACAATGACACACAGAAGCATACACAGTGTAAATTGAGTATATCAAGAAAGTCCTGATAGAATTTAAAAAGTAGCAATGAAGCACTCTTTCCAAAAGAGTCAAGTAGGCAAGGAGGGGAAAGCCAAAGACCAGTTAACACTGAAAACCAAAAATAATTGAAAAGAGTATCACTTACTAATAATGTATCTTTCCCTTTCCAAAGAACAACTACGATTAATATTTCAGGAAAAAATAAAGGGAGTTAATTTCCAAGCAAGTATTTCCTTTAACTATATGTAGCTTTTCCAGAACTGATTCTTTGATACTGAGAATGTACTTATCAGACTCAGAACACATCAACAGTAAAAGGAGATGCATGAGGTTGGCCAATTGTTTATACAAATTGAATTCTGAATTTTGCTGGATATTATGGACTCTGTATATCTATATCAGACCCTGGTTCAGTTCTGAATAGCGGATTTGATTGCTAAGGGGAAGTAACTACAGGTCACGGCAGAACCTTAAACCTCATCAAATCTTTTATTTACATGGAAGTAGCAGCAGAAAGCTTCCTGCATGAATGAAAGGCTTTGAAAGAATAGCTGCATGTGAGAAGTAAAAAAACCATTACCTCAACATAAGAAGGTTTTTGACTTAAACCTAGGAAAATATTCAATAATAATAATAATAGCAAATGCTTTAGTAGAATCTAAAGATTTCATGATAGGTGTTTGCTATAATAATTACTCTGCTTTCAAATCCCTTCGTCATGTGCAAACATCAAATGTTTCTGTCAAGTAACAACAGACAAATTCTCTACCAGAGTAATAAACCAGAAAAGTTAGAGCTAATAGACAGTGACCGAAGTCAAAGGACATGGCAAATTACATGCACCCAGGCTTCTGGAAGATATGCAGATCAAACAACGCAGTGGTATTTCTCAGGCTGAGCTTTAAAATCAAAAGATGTCCTCTGGGTGGAGCAAGCAGAAGTAGTTACGTTTCAGAGATAAGACATCAGCAATTGTTTTGTAACAATTCATCATCCCAGAAGAACCCAAATCTTCCAGGGAATCAGATGAAAATGACATCATCTCTCACAGCTTTTTATTAATACTTACATTTTGCCTATCTCCAGTTAAATGGGCAAATTCTACCATTTCATTTCCAAATTGGCTGAATATTTGTACAAACTCCTGGAAACTACTGACTTTTTCTAGTTGTTCCATTGTTGCAAGAACCTGCAAGATAAGGGAAAATACAGTAGGTTTTCAAGATGCTAACCAGAAAACTTTATTACTAAACTAGGAATATTATTATTAGCAGACACTTCTAAATCGTGTTGTTTAAAATGTATATATTTTGTCACTATTTAAGCATTAATAACTCAACAGCATTTGTTGTCAACCTTCAAAAAAATATTTCCCTCACTCTTCCCAGTATCAAAGAGTAACATTATTACAGGATTCAGTTTCCAGACTTAGAAAAACTGTTACTGTCATATTAAATTTAAAAACATACGTACTTGAAATTAATATATACAGATTCTATCCCTATGTTGTAACTCTCAATTTCAAAGCTCTATTTCAGATGCATAACTTTCAAAGTCTAAAACCAGAGTTTAAGTCAGACAGGTGTTTTAATAGCTGTGTGCATTCAAAAAAAAGCAATGACCTTCCACAAAATAAACCAAAACCAGTTAGAAATTAGTTAATATATAGTTTTATACTTTCAGTAACAACTTACTCTAACTCTGAGTATTTTTATTAGCTCTATATAAAACAAAGAATTAAATGAACCCAAGTTGTATCAAAGTTCTTAAGACACATAAAAGCATGCAAACACAGCATTTTTAAAAGCATTCAGCAAAAATTATACAGTTTATAAATTACTGAAGCTATCCTGCTGAAATCACTACAATATGGTTTATAACAGAGATTAACATTAGGGTTTTTCAGGTTAGAGGTATAGTTTTTAATCCCAAAGTGATCTTTCAAAACCACTAAATGTCTTCAGAAGGGACAACAGTCAAAGTAGTTCTTTATTGTGTTTCAGACTGGAGATAAGATACCTCTTGAAAATTTAACAAACTGTACTTGAAAAGGAGAAACTTCAGCTTATTTTTCCTTTCCTATGCAAAAAGTATCTCCCTCCTCCAAAAATAAAGCAGTCTAGATATGATTATGAAAAACTACCCCTTCTGCAACCCAGGCAAACTCTCCTAGAAGCCACCCGTTCTTTTGTAATAGAGCAGCTGCCCAATCTCATAGTTATAATCTATGCAAAGCAAATGCTCCACTAAATCCTGGGAGTACTGTGGAACTGGCTGCTTTATCATGTAACATTAGACTGCAGTATCTGAGTATCTTGTTAAGCAGTCAGTTCCACAAAGGCTGCAGAAAGAGGAACTTTTTAATGCATGAGCAAGGCTGAGGTATAAAGGACTTAAAAAAAGCTGCATGAAGATGAAGATGTGAAAACAGCAGTACAAGGGTGGAAAATGCAGAGAACCACAGGACTGGGAAAATGAAGGTGTAGGAATGTAAATGCGGAGGAATAAGAAAACATACAAGGTCCAACTTTCTCTTCTAAGAATAGGTAAAAAAATAATGGCAATTATGCTTAATCATTCTTGGTTTAAGCAAGTATAGCACTTCAGGAGTATGGTCTTGGTTGCAAACAACTGTTATACTAGAGCAAGTATTTCTGTCATGACAAATCTCTTGTCAAATAAAAATTTCAGTGAAAGCACACGTATTAGCTACAGATAACAATTCTAGACATTCCATGCAGAGCTGACATTCCAAGAAACTACATACAGGGAGGAAATGTACAGACAGCTCTAGATTTGTCTAAAGCTTATTCAAGAAGCTGTTAAAATGCAAAATACCTGTGATGTCTTCATAATTTCTCATTTTAAACTTTCTTCAACTTGAAATACACAGACAGCAAGTAAAATGTAGATTTTTTTTTTAATGCAAGGTTTAAAATGTGTGTCAAAAAAGGCTTTACGTTCCTATTAATATCTAAATTAGAATTTAGTATTACGCAGCTACTGCTGCACTATGAATGTCACCTTTCAGACAGCCATCGTAGGCTGACATCACTTCAGGGCACATCCATATTTTGATCCAATCTGCACAGTGCAGCAACACCCCCACTCTGTCACTACTTCCCTGTTCCTTGTTCTGGCACTCCTAATCTGACTGATGACAGTAAGTGGAGCAAGACTTTTAAGTTCACTGATGCAGTGACTAAGTCTGATGGACAGTGAAACAAATTTTGAAAGGTAGGAAAGATGTGGGCAGGGGCTTAAAAAATGCACACAATCTATGGTGCAGAGGATGCAGAAGCAGGAACAGGATCACTGGGATCATCAGCCAGAGGCTGGGTTCTGGAGCAGATCACCATTCCAGGAGATCTCAATCACTTTATCAGTCTATGAGACTGGACATCCAACCACTAAGCTGTTTTACTGTCCTTTGCCCTTGGTTGACTTAACTCCTCTTGATTCATACAAGGAAGATGACGATGACAATGAAAATGAAGGTGTTCAGGAAGAGGAAGCAAGAACATTGGGCACTCTGATGAAAGATGAAAATGCAACTGAGATCTTCTGGAACAGTGACCCACTCCAAGAAGCTAGCATCTGCTCTGGCTGGCAATACTGATGATCCTGTTCCTGCCTTTCCATCCTCCACACCATATTATACTACACTGCCTCTGAGGATCTGTGTGCACTTCTTAAGTCCTTGACCCCATCATCCCTCTACCACAGTATTTCTTACAGGAAGAAATGCTTTGCTATCCACCATACCAGTGTCTGACACACTTTTCAGGAGTGTACTTTTATAAGTATCAGGGTATTCTTGTATAAGACACCATTGTTTGTTTAATTTAGTCCTAGAAATGTGAATTGCTCTACTGGTACCATAAACAGAAGCAGACATTCTCACAACACGTGTAGACTACACATAGAAAGGGGAATGCAGTAAAGCGCAAAAGACCACAAAGACTAGGCTGACTATGGCAGTCAGAGACACTCTGGAATATGAGACTTCATTTTAAATACCTTCAAAATTAAATCTTGCACATATGCTTACTATATTAATATCACTGTATGTATAATAGTTTCATATATATTTGAGACCATCATAAACCACGCCCTGCTGCTGAAAGGATATATCCCTCCCTTATCCCTTCATGACACAAGCACCTGCAGAGTTGTTCTGTAACCTAAATCTGTGTTAACACAGCCACTTTTGGAAAGCTAAATTAATTCAGATCACTGCATGGCTGTAGACAATGGCAGAAGAAAAGCTCACAAAAGACAGCAAAAGGTATTAAATGCACCATGCTGGTCTCCAGTGTAAGAAAAGGACAAAACTGAAAGTATTACTTCAGCAAATTAATGTTGGTAAAATTGTTGCCACCTTCACCAACCACTGGAAGGAGAAAAGAGCACTAAGACAGCAAATCAGAACTGCTAAGTCTAAGGCCAGACTGAAGCAGGCATTACTGTAATTTTTGATTCCTGGACTCAGCTAAGTGTCTTGGATCTAGAAGGTGCAAAAGAGAGACTAGCATGCCTGGAAAGCAAACTGGGACAAAAGAAGCGAGATAACATGAGGAGTCAAAAGAGGAAAGAGGGGTCCTGCTTCAGATTATGAGTTGAAAATTAATGGAAAAGCCTAGGCCCTATCAGGCTCTCATTTTTCAACCATGAGGTTTTTCTATTTTTGCTTTAGCACATCAGGGGAAGGAAAAAAAAAAAGAATATCCTACAGGCAAGACAGTGCAGTACATGAAATACTACATTTGAGGTTAAATGGGCCTTCATACATTATTTAAATCAACTAAGTTTCAAGCTAAGTTTCAAGACATGAATTAAACTGCACAAAAAACTTTTAATCTGTAAACCTCACTTCACTAGCACAGACTTTTATCAGCATTCCTCACAGCTTTTTACCTTAGAGACATTCATAATGCTCTCTTTGTCTTGATCCTGACAGTACAAACATCCTGTCCTTAGCAAGTAGAAGCTTTTATTGGCCATTTTACTGACAGACACACTTTACACCTTGCAGCAGACTTAAATAAGCAGTAACACAACATCTCCTCCAGCATACTAAGTCAATAGAGCAATACAGGTCACATAAAATGTAGTAAGTCACTGAGAATTATGTTATTCCTCCTGAATTACAGCCATCCCCTTTCAGATATCCGGTAGATAAACATGTGCAAGACCTCTTTATTTTTCATTTCCCCTAGAGATACAATGAAATTACCACTTCATTTACCACCACTCTTTTGCATTGACTGCAGGTATCAGTAAAAAACCAAACCAAAACCAAACAAATACCTTATTTCTGGAAGTTATAATTTGCTTAATAACAATTCTGTCTGCTAATACCAGCACCTTTGTGACAGAAGAAAGCAACAATCTTGCAGCTTTTACCACACCCGTTTTGTCTGTAAAGATTGTTATGTGGCTATCAGATTCTGGATGATCCAGGTTTGCCACGTCCGTAAGCTGTGCGATTGTTTCACCTAGCGGGAAAAAAAAAAAATTAACATTTCATACACACAGAAAAGATACTGGCCCATTAAGAATCCTTAATATCCTTAGTATCCTTTGAGTGATAAAACTACAATTTCAGAGCTACCTACAACTTTTTTATTTCACTTCACTTCTACTGACTGTTGGTGGCACCCTCTCCATATTTAAATTTGGACTATTATTCAGTACTGCCTCCTTCTTCCATCTGTTACATACACAGATTTTCTTACAGTAGTCTACAGATATTTGAGGTGGAAGGGGTAGAGCTGAGGAGCGTGGAGGGAGAAAACATTCATGGGAGATATTTTTCCAATTTTAATAACAGAAGTCAAATCAGTGTTGACACTTGCAGCATCAACCCCCTGAAGGAGTGGGATGCAACAAGGAAGGAAGAACTATGAATTCCCCTCTGCTTTCCAAATTTTAGTTAGTATTCCCATTTCCTATTCCTGTATAAGTCTTCAGGCATGACAGATAAAGAGATTCCAAACAGTAACTTTATAACTTACAGGACTGAAGCATTATAGTGCAATGACTGTACATTAAGTTCAAAGGAGGGCCACCAAACAGTATGTTGTCAGAGACAGGAGAGAAAAAAAAAAAAGGCAAGGAAGTACTTATTTTCGGTTCATAAGGATCTTTTTATTCAACTAGCATTTAATATAATAGTTAAATAGAAGTATTTGACGACTGCTGTTTTTCATGCAGTTAAAAATTCCACAATCCAGTGCAGCCAAGGGAAATTCTTGTCTGAGAAAAATCACAGGCACTTACTCAATTAAATTTTCTGGAGTACCCTAGGTAATAATGCAATAGGGGCAAGGCATAGAGTAGTTTCCTATTCCACAACCACAGGACTGCTGGGAGACCGGACTCAGGCAAGCTCTGAGACATGCTTTTTGTTAGCATGTAAGACAAGATGATCAACCCACAACTAACCTACAGATCATCCTTGAAGATAAAATCTAGGACATTTGATTGAGTCCCCTATGACTCATCTTCAAAACCTCAACTAAGGTAATTCACCTAAGCAGACAATATACTCCAAAAGCCTGATAAAGCCAGAGGTCCCATATGAAGAACTTAAGGGTGCATTATTACTCTGGAAATAGCACACACAAACACAGTGGGACAAGGAAGACCTGACAGTCCTTCAGACCACAGAGCTCCAAGCTTCAGTGTTTATGTCCAGATTTCTCTCCTCTGACAACTGTAATCCTTTGAGCTCCTAAACTGCCTGAATAGGTATTGCACTATGGCAAAGAACTTCCAGTACTTTTGCTAAGGACCAGGCTAGGTCATAAGAGCCACACTACAAATAATTAAGAGGGTCCTTCTAGTGTAAATATGCAAACATGATAAACAGAATTCACTCTGAGATGGTGAGTTCCACAGCTGAAGGGCCTGAAAATGAATAGAAGCAAGGCCAATTATAGAAGTACAGCTATTATCCAAAGAGTGAGGGCAGCCAGATACACTAACAATGAAGCTTTAGGACAAGTGTCCAGTGAGACAAGGAGATCTTTTAATAGCAAAACAAGATTGGCCATTGCTTTCTCCACAGTTAAATTAATTTTTCAGGCCAATCTCTAGTTGGAACTGTTCAACTTTGTCAGTAGATTAACCCCAATCTCTTCCTTTGACTTCAAAATATATGTGACAACAGAAAATGCTGTAGGAACATGCTGAGAGCAATTCAAATAGATGTAAAGTTCTTTTGGTAACTAAGGAAGGATGCACCACATCATTACCACATTTCTTATGCTGTGGGATTCACCTTCCTGAAGATGAAAAGTCATAGCTGAAGCATCTAGTTATACAAACAATAATCAGAGAACATAGAGAGAGCTGCAACATCCTGTTAAGATTAAAAAGACTGACATAGGGACTATTTAAGCCAGTTGGGCACACACAAGTCCATGGGACACATCTAGAGTGCCAAAAGAGCAGTTCAGTGTCACTGTAAATTTGCTATCATGTCTGAAAGATTGTGACAATTGGGACACACTTTCAATGATAGAAAGGCAACTGTCACACCCATCTTCAGGAAGAGTAACAAAAATTCAGGCAATTATGAGCTAGTCAGCCTCATGTCAGTCTCCAGGAACATTAGTAAAATAATCTTGGAAGTCATTACCATATGAAGCAGAAAAAAGCAATCAGGAAGAGCCAGCAAGGGTGAATAGTCCTTATCAACCTGAATGTTTTCTATGATGAGACAACACCATCTCTAGAAAAGGAAGTAATGGATGCTGCGTGTCTCAACTTTAGCAAGGCCTCCAACATAATCTCACATAGTGTCCTTATAACTAAATCATGAGATACGGACCGGATAAGTGAACAATAATGTGGGTATAAAATGGACCTGACAGGCTCAGAGACGGTAAGTGGTACAAAGTCCAATGAGCAGCCACTTACCAACAGTGTCCCTCAGGGACTGATGCAAGGAATTAAAACTGTTCCCTGGGTGATGGGCCAGCACATTCATAAGTGTGTGAATAACACCAAACTGGGGGAGTCTCTGATATGCTGGAGAACAGGGTCGCTAAACAGAGGGACAGGCCGGAAAGACAGTCTGACAGAAAGTCTGTGAAGTCCAACAAAGACAATAATAGTCCTGCATCTGGGCTAGAGTAACACCACACCACAGTACAGGCTGGGATCAGCTGCCTAGAGAAGACCTTTGCAAGGAAAGACATGGGGGTCCTGGTGGACAAAGAGTTGAACAGGAGTCAGCAGTGATGGCCAGCTGCATGCTGGATTTTTAGTAGAGGTGTAACCAGCAGGCTGCAGGAATGCGACTTCCCTTCTGTTTGGCACTTGTGAGACAGGCTCTGGAGTACCATGTCCAGTTCTGGGCTCCTTGGGACCAGGGAAAGCATTGCACATAGTGGAGCATGTGACATAAGGAGAGAGGTTGAAGGAAGCGGGTTTGTTCCACCTCAAGAAGAGAAGGCCAATGGCAGAGTTTACTGCTGTCTACAACCACCTACCTAATAGCCAGGTATGGAGAAGACAGAGACAGACTGCTCCCAGATGTGCATAGTGATAGTACAAAAAGCAATGAACAAGATATAAGAAAATACTTTTGCCACTGTAAGGGTGGTCAAACACTGTAAGAGGTGTACAAGAAATTACAAGGTCTCCATTCTTGGAATTAAATGTCCCTTCCAACCTAAGTTATTCTGTGATTCTATTTATCCATTTTAAATTATTGGTTTTCAGCCTTCTTAATTTAATCCTTCTCTGCACTAAAAGACAAGGCAAAAATAAGAGAGTGCTATTTATTGCTTCCATTTTGCTCCCTGTCTTCCTTTAGGGCTATGTAGTACTCTGGCAGAGAATACTGAAAATGTTATGACACTAACTCATTCTTGACATGTGTTTTCTCTTTTAAATTAACTAGTCTTTCCTAGTTTTGGAGAAAAAAAAAATCACAGATGGGCATCTAAAAATGTGCTTCTTTGAGTTACATTCCACTACTGTACTGTCACTGTAAATACTGACACAGTGCAAGACTAATGTTAGGCAAAATCTGCTACATGACCCTCCACAGTGTTTTATGATTCTATTTTGAGTCAATCAAATTATGAGGTTTATTACAAGGAAATAGTCATAACAAGTCTGAAACACTTCAGATCACTGATTATATCCCTTCACAAGAGACAGATACAACATCTGTCATCCTTCAAAGCCTCTGCAGGATATGCAATTGATTTAAAGACTCCCTACTTTTCTTAGCAACTGAGATGCTTCATGTTCTAAATCCTTTAGTGTTGAAATCTATCTTCCACACCTAAAAAGGTGTCTCTTTAACTTCTGAGGCACAATCTAATTTATTGGCTAAAAAGAAACATGAACATCTCTACAACATCTTCTGCCCTAAACAGCAAGGGCTTTCTGCAGCCCAGTGCTGTCAGAACATGGGATTCTTTTATTCAAGTCAATATTCTTGCTATAATTATCAAGGAGATTTTACTGGCTTGCTTGGGAACACCAAAGTTGTTCAAAATGGCACTTGAACAACTGTGTTCTGAGACTAAATTCAGAGGACAATTATTCATAAGAATTTACCTGCACAAAGGACTGTCTTACCTTTTCCAACACCTAACAGTCCACAGAGATAATACTGGCACAAAAAAACCCACCAAGCAAAAAACTAGCAGCAAACATCTTTGATATACTGAATTTCCCATGTACGTCTTCAGTTAGATCTCAAATGGATAGCTCGGAGAGAGTAACTCCCCCATGCCAAGGTAAATGTGAGGCTTGACAGAAAAGTAAACAGTCCGTATCTTCACTCTAGATTGAGGCACATTACTGCCTAACGGGAAATAAAATTTAAAATGTAAAAAAGTATAACCATTTGGTGAGAGAAAATACTGCAGACTATTTTTAGACTCTGAACTCCTCCTGGATACACTGATAGGAAGAAAAAGCACTTGGCCACAACATAACTTGCAAGTCAAGAAATAGAGATCCAGACTGCACTGCTCTTCTAGCAGCTGAGATTATAGATGAAACTTGGGCAATTTGGCTTGTCAGCATTTTATTTTACTTGGACCTCTGAAGAAAAAAACATATGCTTCACATAACAAATGGAATGTTTTCAAATTAGGACATATCTGTTTGCAGATGAGTTTACTGGAGCGACGATGAATTTTCAGTCTGAAGTTTATCTAGAATAGACCTTCAAATCACAAAAACAATAATTCATCACTACCACATTTCTAGACATAGAAACTCATTGTTGAGAGATTTTCAGAAGATTTCTTACAGTACCATGCCCAATTTTTAAGCTTTTTTTTTTTTTTAAAAAAAAATCACAAAAATAGTATGAACTGCATCCCCAAAGTTTGAGGCCAGCACAGTGATTGAGCAAGAAATATAACAGCTAAGACAGCAAAAGGAAGGTTTATCAGGCTTCTGAAGTTATTTAAAAGATAAAAAACAAACACCCACCCATAACTCCACTGTTTAACTGAACAGATAAGTTTTAAGTACCGTAACCCACATCTTGGAGTAGAGTACTACTCCCTTCTGCAGTCATGAAGACATTAGTGTTGAAGGGTCATTTATTTGCCTCCACATCTGAAAGCTCAAGATTGTCTTCCTGAAGCCACAGCAAGCAGAAAGTCTGTCACACCTGTAGGTATTTCCATCTGCTTGAACAGGAAAAGCTTCAAGAAGACATTCTCATGATCTGAAGGTATTGGAGAGAAAAAAACAAAAACCCACCACCACTAACAACAGAAGGAATGTTCTTCTAGATGTCATCTTCTTGAAGGCTTCACTGCAGATGTAAGAATATGCATTTACTAAGAGCCACTGAAATGTCATGCAGGGAATAGTACTGGAAAAGTACTGCAGGGAATATATGGGAAAATAGCTTTTAGCATGACACTGGCATTCTCGTACAGTATCAGAGAATGTAACTCACTATTGGCCTAAACAGAGGCTTTTGGGGGGAGGATGGTGACAGAGGCAGCTCAACCAATTATCCATACCTCACGTTCAATCCACACAGAGAGCAAGTTTTCAACAAAAGTTGAATCCAGCAAAAAGGCAAGTATGATATGATTTTCATTCTACTGAGAGGAGTCATCAGATGGGACTGATGTGAGTCATCTTACTGAGTCCTGATGAAATATGGGTTGACACTGACCTTCATTCAGACATTCAGATTTAGAACGCAGTGACCTCAACAGCATAATGCTCAAATTACTTTAAATACTCTACTGTTTTAGCTTGCAAGCAATAAAGTCTAAAGTTGTATTTTCAACACTCTGCTGTTTGCAGTAACATCATAAAACAAAGAGCAGTCAGGCAATTCCTTCTGGCAAAAGATCCTATAAAAAAATCAAGTCAAAGTCAACACACAATTCCATTCCCTGTTCTTAAGATGACAGCATTTTAAGTAAGTGACAAATCTGGGTAACAGATCAGGCCTTGAATAAACAGCAGAAGAGGGTTAAGCAATTAAATAATAAAGGTCTTACATTATTCCTGGCACTTAAAATAATGTGCCAAAAATGGCACAAGCACAATTTCATGAGCAACTACATACCTGCTCTCCTTGCCTCGATGCAAGCAACACTCATTTCCTCTTTCAATTCATGATTTTCATTGGCTATAGCTTCCCCTACTGTAACAAATCTTCCAACTGCCAGGTTAACTGCTTGGCCCACTCTCTGAATTGCTTGCAGAGTCTTGTCTGAACGCTTTGGTTTATCCTTATGATTAATAAGAGTAGTTATCTGTGAACAAGAAGAGTTAATTATTAGAACTGTATGCAAGAAGATATTTTAACTTTAGTATTAAAAGCAAGTTTTGAACGGAACTTTTTTACTATACTTCACGCATAAAATTTAGTGTTGAGTCATAAGGTATCATTTAACTTCTCAGAAAATGAAAAAAAAAATTTAGCGTATAATTAAGTTTGCTCATCTGCTGTGATCTCAGCTTATCTTATATCTCAAATGAATTGAGGGATTTTTTTCTTCCCTCCCATTTGCAGTATTAAAATAAGCCACCCTAGATCTCTCAACAGGCTTTCACACCACACAGTAAAACTTGAAGAGTGCAATAGTAGACATCAACATAATTTTGGGTTTGCCAGCACTGGAAATCTCTAAAGTTTTTTTACTGCCAGGTACAACTAATCACACTCATCAACTAGGATTTGAAAGCTTTGCCTCTTTTTACTGACATAGCCTTTATAATTGATTAAGGCAGGCTTTGAGAAAGAATGAGGAGTAGCACAGTCTTTACACAAAAAGAAGACCCATTTGTCTTTTAGCAATAATGTGAAGTATTCAAGCCCTCCCCCCCTTAAAATATCCACTGTACTGATGACTTCAGCATCCTCAATTACACATGTTTTCTGGAACTTAGAAAAAGATTGTAATTTTGATGCAAGTTATCAATAAAACAATTTGTGAGGACACTCTTATTCTGAACTCCACATCCTATATCAGCTTTTCTGCCCAGTACCACACGGTGCTATACATTCCTTCTTGGATCACACAGACCAGAGATCGGCTGTAAAGGACTGAAGATTTGTCCGAAACACCAAACACGAGGAAACAGAGATCCTTCTCCCACCCAAAGAGAAAGGTAGGATTGCAGAAGCAGCTTCTTGACAAAGTCATTAGATACACATGAGAATAGTGTGCAATACTGGCACTCAGAATTAACTAATTTCAAAGTGTACTACAAACAATACAGAAACTTTATATTTTTGGTATGACAACCATTTTCTAGTGAGATGCAGGAGAGCAGTTGAATTCTATAGTTTCAAACACCCTAAATCAGCATAAAAGCCATCACTGTTGCAAACAAAGACAGTCCTGCCTATCCTTGCCTCGCTCTCTCATTTTTGCAATGAATTTATCTGATGTGGGTTAAACCTGAATTGTGGAGAAGGTGATGTTTGCTATTTTAGTTTTTCTCATAATCAGTTGCCCATTCCAGTTCACTGCATAGCTGTATGAATACTTTTGGTGGCAAACGGGAAAAAGTACAGACTGGACAGAGAGAGATGGGCAGAAGTGCTCCTTTCAGCAGCAGCATGGTTTAAAAAGCCCACAGAACTGCATTGTAAATCACATCTCCAAGAACTCAAAGATTTCTGCTGAGAGAATCTCAGAATTACATTAATTACTTAAGTGTCTGAACACCTCAGCTGTATCAGCTTAATCACATATGTCTTTGCCTATTCCTCAAAAATCCACCAGAAATCATCCATTCACTTATACATTCTCCTACCAGACAAGCCTATGGTAGGACAAGAGCATAGAAGTTGCACCTGTAATGCTCACATCGAACCCAAGGACAGAGCTGGAAGCAGTGTAGGAACTGCTCCACTTCATAATGTGATCAATGCCCAAGGCTTACCCTTCAGATAACACTGAGTTGTATTTCTGGGGAAAAAAAAAATACTGGAGTTTTTTAACACCTTACTAGGGTTGGCTTTGAATGCCAGGAGCTGGTTAAGTCCAGTTTGCAGTATTAAACTCTTTGCAATGGAAAATGTCAATACTTCATAGAACACTTGGCACCAAAAAAAAAAAAAAAAAAAAAAATGTGAATGGAAGAATATTTTGTCCTGGTATGAAACATCACTACAGAAATGCATAAGAAGGCCCACTCATATGTCACTGGAGAAGTAGGCAAATGATAGAAGTCATAAAGATGTCACAGATTAAGTTGCCTTAATAAAGTCTTAAATAACATTTTCAGAAACACTTTCATTTAAGACATGGGTAAAGTTTACAATTCTATCACTTCTTCAGAACCCTTCGGAGGGGGTCACCAGTTCTGCAGAAAAAGACACCCCCTATGTCCACCTCACATAAGGTGAAGCAAGAATCTGAAGCTGTTTTGGCAGGTGCATCACCAGTGTCATCTTAACCTCATAAAGTACAGCAAGGCCAAATGCAAGGTCCTGCACCTGGGTTGGGATAATTCTCAGTATCAATGTAGATTGGGGGATGAATGGATTGAGAACAGCGCTGCAGAAAAGGACTTGGGCATACTGGTGCATGAAAAACTGGATGTGAGCTGGCAACCCAGAAAGCCAACTGGATCCCAAGCTGCACAGAAAGAAGCATGGCAGGTCAACAGAGCTGATCCTGCCCCTCTACTTTGCTACTGATAGACCCCACTTGGTGTTCTCTGTTCAGCTCTGGAGAACCCAGTGCAAGAAAGACATGGACCAGTTCAAACTGGTCCAGAAGAGGGCCACAAAAATGGTCAGAAGCCTGGAACACCTCTCCTAGGTGAGAGAGTCAGGGCTGTTCAGCCTGGAGGAGAGGGGGCTCCGGGGAGACCTCATTTCAGTCTTTCAGTATATCAAGGGGGCTTATAAAAAAGATGAAGAAAGACTTTTTACCAAGGCCTGTAGTGGCAATACAGGAGACAAATTTTTTAAACTAAAAGAGGGTAGATTTAGACTGGACATAAGGAAGAAATTCTTTACTGTGAGGGTGGTGAGACACTGGAACAGGTTACCCTGAGAAGTTGTAGATGACCTCTCCCTGGCAGTGTTCAAGGCCAGGTTGGACGGGGCTTTGAGCAACCTGGTCTAGTGGAAGGTGTCCCTGCCCATAGCAGGGGGATTGGACTAGATGATCTTTAAAGGTCTCTTCCAACCCAAACCATTCTGTGATTTTATGACATATATACCCACTGGAATAGCTGGTATATGCAGATTCAACTCAGTTTGCAAGTCTATTGTTATACACAGCAGCTGAGGCTTGCAAATACCTCCTGGAATGATGAACTAGTAGCTGGGTAATATAATTTCTTCTCAGACTGGCCAACTAAGGCCACTACAGTAACTATCTTAACATTAGAATGGAGGGAAATTTGTTGAACTCCATCTTTCTTTTTTTCCAGAAAAGTCAAAACCTACATGCATTATCAGTTCAAAACAAACATTGTAAAATAACTAAACCAGAAGCTGGTCAAGCAGTTTGAAACATCAAGACAGCTTCATATAACACCGATTTCAAGTGTGATCAATGTTATGTAGCAAATTCACCCTATACTAACATAGTAAAATTTGCATAGGATGTTTGTTGTAAAAAAGTAAGCAACAGCCCTGAAATAGGAGTAGGTAAGTCATGACAAAAGAAAGAGGAAGATATGAAATATATACCCGTTAAAGGAAAAAAGGCTGTCTTTCTGTTCTAGAAACATGAGTTAGACATATATCAAATGTAAAATTCTTAATAACATCAAAGGCATGAGGAAAGTTCTTCAGATACAGCTGAGCTTTTCATAACTGCCCCTGCAGAAAACCGCTGTGCAAACAAGAAGAATGTATAATTCTGAGAAATATCTTTCTCTTTCCTTCATGAAATGTTAAGAGTGACAGATACACACTCACATATATCCTCCATTTAAAACTATGAAAAAGTAGAGGTAATAGCAACTGCATTTTTAGATTCTTGTCAAAACTTAATCAAACATAATTAACAATCAGGGTTAAAAAAACCTAAGAAACAAAATCTTAACAGAGCAGAGAGAGGAATTTCACTAGTATGTTAAGTGACATACTGAAGGAAACTGTGATGCTAATAAGCAGCACAAAGGTTATTTAACTAGTTCAGACCATTAAAAAAAAAAAATAAAAAAAAATCCCTAAGCAGTACAACTGAATGGGTGTTGGGGAGAGGTCTGCTTCAGGATACAAATAAAGCAATACGCATTAAAAGGCCAATAAACTAGGAATCTATAATAACAAATAAGCAAAGTTTTTGCTTCTCACTTTTAAAGAACATTCAAAACAAAGATATAAAATTGGACAAGAAAAATGGAGAAAAGCAAAGACCAACAAGAAACTTAAGAAGGGACTTTCTCCCCAGTGAACAACCACCTTCCTCCTCCAAAGATACCCTAAGAGCCTATCAAAAACTGAATTAGTGAAAACTTGCAACGTTTAAGGATATTTTAGGTTACAAAGAACTGCCTTTCCCCTGAAGCCCACCCAATTGCAACCAGACCAGAACAATTACTGTTGTGTTTCTTTCGCATTTTTTTTAGAAGGAAACCCCTGTGACTCCAAGAACGTTATCTAAACTCTCTTTTAAGATTAACAGCTCCCACATACTTAATCTGTCATATTCTAATCGTGTATCATCCAGTCACTAACATTTGTGGTGCTTGGGCAAGAGTTAACAGCTGAAAGACCTGTGAGTCTCTTTGAACAAGAGTAATATGGTTACATGATGTTTACATAAGGATTTACTGATCAGGTCCTAGAAAGGAAACAGTCCTTTTGATGGTACCCATGCTCTGTTCAATGTGAGCTTTTACACTATTTCCATGGAATGCTTATCTGAGATTTGAGACAGTTTAAGGAGTGTGCAGTTTCAAGAAACCATCAGTTACAATCTTTTGTCACTTGTTTCCAGCCGCCCCAGAAAAATGGCCTTTTCCCAAATACTTTACTGAAACAAACACATATAGTCATAATGTATCAAGATGTACTTCATATTTAAGGAAGCAAGCTCAGTTGTGGCAGTTTGCAAGCAGCTGTTTTCAGAGTTTTTTGAGGGCCTTCAGATACTGACATTTAAGCTGTTATATGCTTCATGCACAGGAAGCATCATGACAGCATGCTTAGCTAAAAATATTTCAATATCTATTTCTTATCAGTGTAATTAAGTTTTACATGACACACTTCTACAAACACAAGAGTTAAACTGAGAAGTCATGTTGGAAGATACTCTACCCACTTCCCTCCCTGTGGGTAAGTATCCACATTGTATATGAAGTAAA